GCTAACCAGCCATCCCTATATAGGGATCCGAACCCGTGGCCTTGGTGTTATCAGCACCACACTCTCCCAAGTGAGCCACGGGCCGGCCCTGCCTTCTGCTTTTAAAGGCAAAGTTGCACCAGGCCTGACTGAGCCTTAGTTCCAGAAGCAGGTCCAGCACAGTTGTTTCATCTGTGTGTCACTCCACACAACAGGAAAACAAAAGTATTCCCGTTGCTTCCAATTCCATTTACATGGGGGGAACAAACAGAGGTGACCAGTGAGGGGGTGCTCCCTGGGCTGGCAGACGAGAAACTGTCTTCTTACGTCACTATGTCACTATCGCACGGGCAGAATGTGCATCTACAGCTGTACTGTATCCCCCAAAGCAACCAACCCATAACCAAAGCTAGGTCACAGCAGGGGGTTTAAGGTAGTGTCATAGGATTAGGAGTGACTCAGCATTAGGAAATGGGTCTGCCAAACTGTGAGGCCTCAGGTGCTTTAGGAAGGGAGAACAGAACAGATAATACTTCCAGGCAATGTGCCTAGAGATGGGTCAGGGCAGGGTCTCAGCATTAGGAAATGGGTCTGCCAAACTGTGAGGCCTCAGGTGCTTTAGGAAGGGAGAACTGAACAGATAATACTTCCAGGCAATGTGCCTAGAGATGGGTCAGGGCAGGGTGTGGCCCACAGCTTTCTGCAGCAGGGAGTTGAAGGCGCTCACAAAGCAGATGCTGTGCTGCTGGCTTACAGGGCAAAACAGACCAGAATACTTTAACTTACGATTGTTTCCTGCAGTTTTCCATTAAGAGATACCTCACCCATCCTGACACTGTGGGAAACACAGGCTAGATACAGTAGATGGACATATAATTGGAAAAATATAAACCCAAGTAAACTTAAGGTTTAAAACACAGACACAAACACATTAAAACCTTGGGAAGATAAGCTACTTCAGTTAAACCTTTTATAAAACAACTCAGGGTAAAATTAGAAGCAATTTGGGAGGACAAGGAAATCCCTTTGCCTAGTGAAGGGCAGCAAGATTTGAAGGTAGATCCACCTGGCCTCAAAACCATCACTCCAGAGCAAAGTAACAGAAAAGCAGCATCACCCACGGGTTCTGCTCACAGCTCTGAACGCACAACTGTCACCCTTAGCTCCTTACAACAGGCTGCTTTTTAGTTAGGGTGGGGCAAAAGAGGCATATGGATGTACTAGAAAATCAAAGCAGTTAATATTTACAATTAGAGTCCCTCCCACCCCAGTGAGAAGAGACTGCAAGCCCAGACAGAGCTGGTCTGGCCAGCTACCTCATAAGAAAATGCCTTGGGAAAAGCCAAAAGAGTCTCTGCTAAACACCATTGTCAGCTAAAAGGAAAAGAAATCCCTTTTAAGGAACTATTTAACTTCAACAGACTGCTTTTCTGCCAGGATTTTCAATCCCTCTGAACATAAGCCGAACCACAGACTGCAGCACGTATGTCTGGATCCTGGCTTTTCTTTTTCTTCTCAGAGCTTTAGCACCAGTTGTTAGCCAAAAATAAACACCATTCCTCAACCATATATGTCCACCAGCCCAGCGCTGGGGAGGAGGAGCAGGAGGTAGGTCAGTCCCTGGGCTCCAGCGGCACTCACGTGCGGCCGCTGCTCACCATGCACATCACCCAGCTCAACCGCGAGTGCCTGCTGCACCTCTTCTCCTTCCTGGACAAGGACAGCCGGAAGAACCTGGCCAGCACCTGCTCCCAGCTCCATGCTGTGTTTGAGGACCCCGTGCTCTGGCCCCTGCTGCACTTCCACTCCCTCACTGAACTCAAGAAGGACAACTTCCTCCTGGGCCCGGCGCTCCGAAGCCTCTCCATCTGCTGGTACTCCAGCCGCGTGCAGGTGTGCAGCATCGAGGACTGGCTCAAGAGCACCTTCCAGAGGAGCATCTGCAGTCGCCACGAGCGCCTGGTTGATGATTTCCTCCTCCAGGTGTGTGACAGGTAGGTCGCCTCCTGAGCAGCGCTAGCTGTGCTGGCTCTGGCTCTTGGGGGGCAGGGAAGAGCAGATTACGAGATCAACAGGGCTCTGCCTCGGGCACCCCAGACTCGGCCCAGGCAGACACCCGGACCCCATCCAAAGCAAAGTCCTCAGGAGATGGATAATCATGAGGAAAATAACTGCTAACCCTCACAGGTCCCGGAGCTGCTGCTGCTGCAGAGCCACAACTTCAGTTACCCCAGCTCTTCGGCAGCTGTCCTCCCTGACAGCCATTAAGTGCTGGGCGGGTCTAGCTGGGCCTGGCTTTTCAAGGTCACGCCCAAGAGAAAAGCCTCCCAGGTGCAACAGTCAGCTCACCCCTCCACTTGGCCCTAGCAGGCTCACCCTGAGGCCTGTGAAATGCTGCTGAGGAAGGAGAGCCAGGGTGCCTAGGTGAGCTGAGCCAAACCAGACTTGAGGAGAGGTGGTGATCTGAGTTTACTAATCTTCATGGTACCCGTCGGAGAGGTGTTTCAGTCTACTTTTTCAAATGAGCAAACTGGTACTCCAAGAGGTGGTGTGACCTGCCCACAGTCGGGTTGCCAGATTTTAGCAAAAAAAAAATATAGCCTGCTAGTTTAAATGTGAATTTCAGATAAACAATGAATAATTTTTTAGTATAAGTATCTCCCATATACATCCTCTGATTGATCTGGCAACCCACTGTGGGCACAGAGGCTGTGCCACCAGTCCAGCCTCCCTCCATGGTCACAGGCTCCTGGGTAGAGCAGCCCAGGCAAGAACACAGCTTTCACCAGTCCTGTCCTGCCTTTGAGGAAAAGCACCCGCCTGATTGCCAACAAACTGAGCCCGGCTGTTTATGGAAAACTAGACTCAGCCAGTTTGCTGCCACCCAAGTTTAATAGTTGCTCTTTGCTGGCAGCACTACAGGAATGGAAGGAAATAGTGTAGGCCCCACATTTCGTTTTATGCATGTATATTTTAAGCTGATAGGAAGAAGATGGACTTGAGGCTGGGCCCTGATGGGACCAGGCTGTTTTGATGGGTTTAACCAGGTGCAGAAATCAGACTGGAGGGTGATACAGAGTGGGGCAAAGCTTGCCCTGAAGTGGTTCCATTCTGTTAGAGAGCCAGGCATACTTCCCCAAACCAGCAGGGTGTAGAATGGACCACCCAGGCCATTGTATGGGTTAAGCAAGGGACCCTGGTGTCACACAAAAAAGCAAAGGGCTTTGCTATTGAGTCCCCTAACTCTGCGACTGTCCAACTGTATGGCCCCAGCCCAAATATTTAAACTCTTGCAACCCCATTTCTTCCTCTGTAAAATGGTATAATTTCCCTTAGCTCACAGGGTAAGAAGATTAAGTGACACAGTAGCACCTGACATGGGTATCCATAAATGTCTACCAATCTGGTTCTTCTGGCAATCAGCTCAGGGGGTTGAGAAAAACAGCTGAGCATGGCTGGGCAGGGAGGGAGTCAGCTCTTTCCCTGGTTTCTTTCTGCATCCGAATTATTCTAAAGGTTGTTAGTGGAAAGGATCACCCAATACTCTGGGGCTTAAACACCTAATCCTCAAAACCACGGTGAAGGCAAAAATTCCTCCCACTTGACAGATGAGGAAGTGGCCCAGCAAGGTTCAGACATTTGTCCTGAGTCAGACAGCGGATAAATCACAGACAAGTCACTTGAGCTTTCTGGCCCAGTTTCTCATTTACAGAACTGGGGGTGCAGATGGTTGATGGGATGACTAAAGAAGGGACCTGAACGTGGGAAGCTGGCATGGTTCTGTGTGTGAAATGTGGCTGTGCCCAGTATATTTTAGTTCCTTACCCCCTTTCCTAAGCACAAAGGAGCCACGCTGGCCCAGCCAGTGGTAGTCAAAGAGCTAAGAGGAAGGCTGATAGTGACAAGGAAACTCTCCCCAGTTCAGACTTCCACTCCCTCTGGCTACAGGGAGCCAAGTCGTAGCCCTATGAGAGGTCTTATGGACTGGAAGCAACCTGGTTCTTTTTTTCCAGGGAAAGTGAGTATGTGCCTATGGAAGGCCCCGTTGCAGGATCTTTAATCCCCACATCTCACTTAGTCCTCACGGTAGACATTATTCCCCCACTCCTCACCCCCAGGAAGGAAACTAAGGCTTAGTGAGTGAGTGATTTGGCCGAGATCACAGATCACACTGCAAATAAGCCAGGTCTAACTGTGCTCAAGGTCTTTTCTCTCCAGCAGGTGTTGGGAGGAGCTGGCGAGGCTGCAGTAGAAGGGCCTCCAAGCTTTCTGAGCAAGCCACTTGAGTGCAGCTGACTGTACCCACCTCAGGGCCTGGTTCTAGCTGCCTCCGGTTCCTGACCTCCTCCAGGCTGGTGTCCCGGGGGATGCAGTCGCTGCCCTAGCCAACTGAGCTGAAACCAGGGCTCTAGAACCAAAGCTCTTGAAGCGTGACCCCGCGGCCTCAAGGGCTGGAATGGGCCTGTCACTAAGTCACTCCAGAGGAAACAAACCCCTCCTCCCACCCACGTCCGGCCAGGGGCATTCAGAGGCCTCAGCTTGAAACTAGATTATAGCGGCCCCCAGGAACCACTCTACTCCCCTTCCCTACCCCCGCCAAAGCAACAAATGCAGAGAAGACCAAAGGAACAACAGTGGTCGCGCCCAGAACCAGCTGCCCCGGGAGGGGGGGGGGGGGGGGCGGCCCTGGGCTTCCCCACTGGGGGCTCCTGAGGCTACGAGCCAAGAACCCACTCAGACTAAGGGGCAGGGGCTGAAAGCAGGGGAAATGGCCAGACAGCCCGACTGTAGTCCCGGCCGCCTCATCGCAGGCAAGTCCCTTAAGCTTGCGGGCCGTTTCCTCCTCGCTAACATGCGCTTAAGTGGACCTAACCGGCAGTAAGGGCCAGGCTCGGGCCCCAGGTCACCCCGTTCTCCCCGCAGGTGCCCCAACCTGGCGTCCGTCACGCTGTCGGGCTGCGGCCACGTCACCGACGACTGCCTGGCGCGCCTGCTGCGCTGCTGCCCGCGCCTGCGCGCGCTGCGCCTGGAGAACTGCGCGCGCGTGAGCAACCGCACGCTGGCTGCCGTGGCGGCGCACGGGCGCGCGCTGCAGACGCTGCACGTGGACTTCTGCCGCAACGTGAGCG